TCCGTGATTCAGTGCCCAATCTGCTGGGCACATCTGCACACGTATGTGGCTGACAGGTGCCACCCCTGCATGTCCACCATTTGTGTGACCAGTGAGGGTTACTGGGGATCTGGAGAAACCACAATTTTCCTCATGTGGGCCTGGTCCTCCGAGCAGCCCCAGCCTTGATGGGTGCTGAAAGCAGGCAGTAGCTGAACAGCCAGTTTAGTCTTGCATCGGTTCTGGTACGTGTGGTTCTTTTGGCTTGAGGCTGTTCCTGCATAACACCCTCAGAAGCCTGGCCATAGTTTGAGACTGTAATTTAGATGCCTTTTTTTTTTTAAGGTTCAGAGATTGTGAAAGGAAGCATTAAAAAAGCATTGCATTAGCAGACAGTCCTCCCAGCAGCTCCAGTGGAGTCTGCACGTGGGTCACTTTGGTCCAGTGTATTATCTTGAAGCATCATGCCCTTGGCATCCAAAGCTAAAACGGATTTTATGTCATAACACCCAGTCGGTTAGGAGGACATGCAAGACGTGTCTAGGTTACAACATTCTCTCATGTTAGAACATGATAACATGCAGGCATGTTAAATGGCATAGTCCTGAGCAGAGTTGTGGGTGTGGCTTCTGAAAGATGCACCCAAATGCCAGTGGCATTGTGTCCCTCATGCTTCTTTGACGTCAGTTGTATGGACACATGGCACCTCTTCTCCTGCACTCATGTTTCTAGCTATTAAAAGCAAAAATTGCCTTTATATCTAGAATACATTTGGATTTTTTCATAAAAAGCACTATAAATTTGAAGTGAAACTACAGGCCCTACATTTTTTTTAAAAAAAGGAAGGAAATTTAAGATTTGAGCTTTGAATTCTCAGAAGAGGCGTGGGAGCAATGCCTTTCATCTAGCTCAGGGAAACTAGTCAGCTGAAGATCGGGTGATTTGTTTGCACTGGGTGAAGTAGATTCTAAGTTGCAGGCTTTCACTTACTAGGCCTTCACAGGGAGGCTGGGTGTGTAGATTGCTGTGCAGTATTAGGCTGAACCAGAGGCTCTTGGGTGATGGGAGACAGGCACAGTGCTCATGGAGCTAGATGATGACGGGGCAAGTGCTGTGCTGCGGGTTGGGACATGGGGGACAGCTTCTGGGCTCCCTGCTGTGGCCCCACACAACCGCAGGCACTGGAAAGGGCCCATGCTGGATCGTGCCCCAGCTGTTTTTCTAAAATTCAATCTGGTTTATGGGATCTCTGATGGTATCCTTTAAAGGCAAACCTTAGAAGTGGTGTTGGTATTAAAATTTATGGGGACTTT